TATTGAAGCTCCATGTATTTATTTTTATTTTTATTTATTTATGATAGTCAGTGAGAGAGGGGGGGGGCAGAGACATAGGCAGAGGGAGAAGCAGGCTCCATGCACCGGGAGCCCGACGTGGGATTCGATCCCGGGTCTCCAGGATCACGCCCTGGGCCAAAGGCCGGCACCAAACCGCTGCGCCACCCAGGGATCCCCTCCACGTATTTTTATCCTTACACTTGGAGTGAGGATTCCCGCCCGTAGAGTGAGAGCTATCTGGCTCTTGTATAGATCTGAGTGGGGGATGCTGGTCGGTGTCTCGTTCAAAGCACTGGCAATAAAAAGTGAACCCTCGTGTTGCTAGTTACTCTAGAGAAGTTAACAGAAAAAAAAATAGTACCTCAAGCCTTTTTTTATTTTTTTTAAATACAAGTTTCAAATTATAGCTTTTTCCAAAAAAAATACTCCTTCTATATTTTTATTTTTCCCTTTTTTTTTAAAAAAAAGATCTATTCATTTATTGATGAGAGACAGAGAAAGAGAGGCAGAGACACAGGCAGAGGGAGAAGCAGGCTCCCTGCAGGGAGGAAGCCCAAGCCCAGGACCCCGGGGAACTGCCCTGAGCTAAAGGCAGACGCTTAACCACTGAGCCACCCAGGCGTCCCATTTTTTTCCCTTTTCTCTAAAAAGCAAAACAGTCTATTTAGAGGACACAACACATTTGAATCCCAACCTATGGGCATCTTATATATTTGCACTCTTCTGGACTTTGGGAATACTTTTAAATAGCTCCATCTAAAACAAAACCAGTAAAGAGGCAGCAATGAAAATTATATATATATATGTATGTAAAAATATATATATATGAATGATGTCAGAGAGGCACTTATTAACTACCCATTAATATTATAGTATATCAATATTATATATTATTATATGTTAATAGTAATCACATATTAATATAATATATTATCATATTATATATAATATATAAAATATGATCCACAGTACTAACGTATTATATAAAATATTAATATTAATATATCAATATTAAAATGCAAATTACATGAAATATTAATATAACATATTAATATTAATATTATAATTAATAGACATATATAAAATGTATATTTTATATATATGAATGATGTCAGAGAGGCACTTATTAACTACCCATTAATATATATAACATATTACATAAAAATTAATATAATATAAATTATATTATATTAATATTAATCAATTAATATTAATATTAAAATACAAATTATATGAAATATTAATATATTGTATATATTACTATTATTATAATTAATAGATATTATATATAAAATATATATTATATATTTATATATATGAATGATGTCAGAGAGGCACTTAGTAACTACCCATTTAAATTATATAATATTTATATATTATATAAAATATTAATATTAAAATACAAATTATATAAAATATTAATATATTGTATAATATATATTACATATTAATATAATATATATCATATATATGAATGATGTCAGGCACTTATTAACTACCCATTAAATTCAAGAAACTCTTAAAATGAATAAAACAACAGAAGGAAAACCCAAAGCACTCTTTTAGTCTTAGGAGTTGAGGAAGGCCCTTTGGACAGAGCAGAGTTTTGTTCAGGTAATTAATGAGGACTGAGAAGTAGTTTTCAGGCTCCTTTATAGGCTAATTCCCGTGCAGGTTAGACTGAATAGTGATCGCACGAGCAACACGTCCATGCAGTCACCCAGCCGCTCCTCATGCACCGCCCACCCGTGGGACAGCTTCAGTACATATGGATCCATGGTGCGCGTGGGCTTCACTGTACGGAACGCAATGACCCGGGCGCTGGGTGGTCTTACAACAAATGCCGGAGCTGGTGACGGCGTTGAAGGAGAAGGAGCGACCGGAATATGACTGGGCCAATAGAAAGCATCTCGCCGAGTAATGAAACGCTAAATATTGGCAAATGCTGATACTGACATTGGCGGATGTTCACATCACGACAGGGCTAAACCTTACATAGAAAAGCCCATCGATAAAAAGGGGCTAAAGTGTTTCTTAAGTCCACCCGAGACAGACGTAGACAGATGAAGAAACGGGAGTGTCCGGGAGTGTGCGACTTAGTGTCGCAAGACTGAAAAGCGAGCAAAGTAGGACTAGAGCCCCGGAATTCTGAATGCTCTCAGGTCTTGCCTGCTGCGATCCTGCATGAGCATTAGGGACGGGAAATCCTCCGGGCTGCCGGGAAGGAGAGAGACCCGTGGTGCCCAGGACACAAGCTCCGTTTTTGCGCTCTGTGCCTGCTTTTAGATGCGCAATATAGAGAGGTACGAAGCGCCACCATTGCTGTTTTTACTTCTTCAGTCTTGGGTTATGTGCACACTGGGTTGGACAGAACACTTCAGGTGAAGGAAGATTTTCTGTTTTTTTTTTTTATTTATTTTTATTTAATCAATTAATTAATTAATTTTCTGTTTTTATTGGGAGTAAGTCTGACGGCAGCCCGGGTGGCTTAGTGGTTTAGTACCTGACTTCGGCCCAGGGCCTGACCCTGGGGTCCCGGGATCGAGCCCCGCATCGGGCTCCCTGCGGGGAGCCTGCTTCTCCTTCTGCCTGGGTCTCTGCCTCTGTGTGTCTCTCATGAATAAATAAATAAAATCTTAAAAGAAAAAAAGAACTTAAAAAAAAGAGTAAGTCTGAGAGTTTCACTGATAAAATGGAGAATAGCTGCTCATTTCTGGGAAACAGCCACAGCCCACAGTCAAGCCTGATAAGAAATCTAAAAGAGCAGTAACTTATTTTGAGCATAAGCTCATCAGGTGGAGATGGGGCTACGCCAGGAAGAGGGCGACTTGCGTGGGCTTGAAGCACATCAACTCCGGCTCGAAAGTCCAAGGAGGTGCAGGCAGTGCCCGCGAGTGGAGACAACGCGGTGGCCCTGAGCCGATACCCGAGCAGACGAACGGTGAAGCTCACACATTCATAAGGCGAGTCGAGGAGACGATCAAAGGCACCAGCGACGCCTAAATCTAGATGTTTTTTCCCCCTTCCGGAGAGATGTTGACATTGAAACTTGGTATCGGTATTTCCTAAAACTGTAGATCTCTGGGTCAGACAAAAAAGCCTCGTGGCAGTGGGTCTTCCAAGGGGGGGGGGGCCGTGGCGCCGGGGGGGGGGTTCAGCCCGCAGCCGGCGGGGAGAGGTGCAGGCACGGAGCTCTAAGTGCTTAACATTTCTAAGGCTGCGGCCCTTCATATGTAAAAGCGAAATAATGATTCAAAGTTCTGTTTTGAGAAACCAGAAGATAATTAGCAAAGTGCCTCAGAGCCCCGGAGGGGTGTTGGCTAGTGTCCCTATGACTGCTTCCGCACGGGCCTTCTTAGGCTCTGCTGTGTCGACAGAGGTGACTAAACAGAGGTGGCCTAAGTCAGGAAATACCAGACACGAAGGTGCAGGAGTCAAAGGACCTCAGGTGTGCAGCAGAGCCGAGGAGGTGCAAGAGGGGAAAGCATGCGCAGCGCTGCGCCAACACCACCGGGCAGGAACCGGGCCTGCTCGATGCCGCAGCGCCTGCGTTTTCCTGCGTCCCCTTCTGGGCCTCTAGGTGAGGCGACCTGTAAACCGCAGAAAGGTGATGGTCACGTGTAGGACTTCCTTGTCTTTCAAGTTGCGGGGTGAAGCCTGGTGCCTCTGTCCGGGGATGAAGGCCCTGTAATCCTGCAGCACAGGCTGTGGCTCAAGTGCACGCAGGGCCGCTGTCCCTTCCCGTGGCAGCACGGAGCCCAGCACAGTGTCGTGGGGACCTCGGTCCAGGGGGGCCCCCCAGTCCCCAGGAGCACCCTGCACCCGCCTGGGCTGCCTGCACCTGCAGAGCCTGGAGGACACTGCATCATGCTTGGCCGTGCAATGCAGGGGGCCAAGCCAGCAGGGCAAACACTGGGGGGAGATGTGGATCTGCGGAAAGGATCATGTTTAGGATCCTGATGGCCCCAAACTGTAGGGGTGACATGCGGAGGAGAGACCATTCACGGGACCCTGGTGCTGAGCCCTTGTTGCAGGAGCCTGGAGCCCCAAGGGGAGGCCTTGGACTGGAGGGAGGCCTGGATTGGCAGAGGGAGGCCTGCCTGGGGTCCCCATCCTGACCCTGTGTGGGCCCTGCACCCCAGGGGGAGTCCCCCATCTTGGCCCTCTGCACTCCAGGGGGAGTCCCCCATCCTGACCCCATGTGCCCCCCACACCCCAGGAGGGAGTCTCCCATCCTGACTCTCTGCATCTTGGGAGGGAGCCCCCATCCTGACGCTCGTCACCCTGCATCCCAGGAGGAGCCCCATCCTGACTCCACGCACCTGGGAGGAGCTGCGTCCTGACCCCGCACCCCGGGGGGAGCCCCCACCTGACCCCGCACCCCGGGGGGAGCCCCACGTGACCCCGCACCCCGTGGGGAGCCCCACCTGACCCTGCATCCCCCGGGGGGAGCCCCACCTGACCCTGCATCCCCCGGGGGAGCCCCCACCTGACCCCGCACCCCTGGGGGAGCCCCACCTGACCCTGCATCCCCCGGGGGGAGCCCCACGTGACCCCGCACCCCGGGGGGAGCCCCCACCTGACCCCGCACCCCGGGGGGAGCCCCACCTGACCCTGCATCCCCCTGGGGGAGCCCCCACCTGACCCCGCATCCCCCTGGGGGAGCCCCCACCTGACCCCGCACCCCTGGGGGAGCCCCCACCTGACCCCGCACCCCGGGGGGAGCCCCACGTGACCCCGCACCCCGCAGCCTCCCCGTGCGCTCCCTGCAGGCCCCTACGCCCCGGGGTCGGGGTCACCTGCGCCTCCTGTCGGCGGCGGGTGCGGGGTGCGGCGCGGCCGGGGCAGGTGGTTCCCGGCGCCCTGGGGGAGGAGCCGCCCCGCCCGCCCCTCCCCGCCCGTCCCCTCCCCGCCCCTCCCGCCCCGCCCCTCCCCGCGGCCCGAGCGCCCGGGTCACGCCGCTCCTCTCTCCCGCGCAGCCTGCAGAGGCCTGTCCCGCCCCGCGCGCGACCGCGGCCGCCGCCCCCGCGAGCCCAACGCGCTGGTGCAGGTCTCCGTGGCCCAGCCCGCCGCGCCCGGCCCCACGCGGTACGCGAGCACCGAGGTCGTGGAGGTGAGTGCGCCCGCCCGCCCGCCCGCCCCCGCCCTGCAGCCCGCCCCCGCCCGCCCCTCCCCTGCCCGCCCCCGCCCTGCGGCTCCCGCTCCCGCTCCCGCACCCGCTCCCGCTCGCTCCCTCCCTCCCCTCCTGCACCCCGCCGCCCCTGCCCTGCTCAGCGCTGCCGCCCCTGCTCCCCTCCCCCCTCCCTCCCCCTCCCTCCCCCCCCCCCCCCACTCGTGCAGACTCACCCCCGACAGCCCGGCCCGGCCCGGCCTGGAGGACGCAGCCCGTGTCCTCTGCGGGGTCCCCTGCGCCGGGGGAGCGCCCACCTGAGCTGTGAGCTGCTCAGCCCGCTCGGGGCACTGGCCTCGGCCTTGAAACGGTCCGCCCCACTGACAACACACTTTGCTTTTCTGTAGTGAAGAAGGAAGAACATCCCACAACGAATCCCTGAACAGAGCAGGAGGAGGGACAGAGAGAAAGAGAAAAAACACCTTCGAAAGGATGAAGGCTCACCTGGGAGCCTTAAAACAGACTCAGAACCTGCCCCCCCCGCCCCCCGCCACCCCCGCCCCGACCCCCCAGACAAGGGAGCTGCCCCCCGCTGCGCTGCTGGTTTTGCCCCAGCCCCTGGGCCTGCCCGCGGGACCCTCCCTCACTTCCTCTGCTCTCTCCTGCCTAAAGTGCCTTGTTTTTCAAGGAAAGCTGGACGGTGACTCTGGGAGACCGGGATGCTTGGAGCTGAAGGGTGTAGATCCCTCCCCCCAGAAGGCAGATTTCCTATTTACACTGACTGTCATGAACACACCAGAACGTGCCGGGAGGAAGCGTGTTATCGTGTTGGACCAGATTCAAAAGAGGAAGTGTTTCCCTTTTGATCATTTTTCTTCTCGCCACGCAGACTTCGTGGACTTCGTGGACGGGACACCCTGCAGCCCCTGGGACTTCACAGAGTGCATTCGTGCCTCCCCAGCTCCCCGGGCCCTACATGCATGTCCCTCAGTCTTCTTTTTTTTCTTTTCCGTCAGTCTGTCTTGGAGGAGGAGCTCCTCTGCCCGGCGGCGAATAGCCTGCCCTGCACCGCTCGCCCGGCTCAATACTGATCCCCACCGGGCTCCACTCTTGCTCCCGTGCAAATGGCCCAGAGCCTGCAGGGAGCCCCGAGGCCGCCCCCTGGAAACGTTAGGCTCAGGCTCGTAGGGTCTAGGGTCCGCAGGTAGTGCCGCAGCCCAGTTAACCAGAGTTGTCTCGTTCAGATGCTGAAAAGTTGACCAGAGTTGTAAAACTGTTCATTTCTACAAAGAGAAAAAAAAAAAATGCAAGTATTTTGCATTGCAAGTACATTGCAAAAATGCACGTATGCTCTGGTTTAATTATTCCAAAAACACTGCCGAAGCTTAAATGATTCAGACACGCTTCCGATGTTTGTGTTTGAACATACACAGCTGCTTGGGCTGTTCCGCTGACCGTCTTTCTCCGAAGTGCGTAACACAGAACTGAACCAAAAGCGGCGTTTGTTGCAGGAAAGGAGGAAAGGAGGGACAGCGGGGGCCAGGGAGGAGCTCGGACCTTCCTTTCGGGGGCTCACAGCCGCCACCTGCCCACCCGGCGGGCGTCTCGGGCCAGTTGGCCATATGCTTATGTAGGGGTGCAGAGCTCCATGTCGGATGTCAGCTCTCTACAGACGGACCCACGGGCCTTGAGGGTCCCAGGCGGCATCCTGAGCCCTCATCTTTAGCTTCTTTCCTTAGTTTCCAGATGGGTCTGAGAAAAACCACGTCTGGACGGCCGAAGGCAGATGGACATCATCAGAGCATGGCTTTCCATCGAGTCATTACAGAAAGGGGGCAAATGGTACTTTATGGGAAAACAGCCTCATTTTATTTATTTATTTTTTTAAAAAGATTTATTTATTTATTTATTCATGATAGACATAGAAAGAGGCAGAGACACAGGCAGAGGGAGAAGCAGGCTCCATGCACCGGAAGCCCGATGTGGGACTCGAACCCGGGACCCCGGGATCGCGCCCTGGGCCAAAGGCAGGCGCTAAACCGCTGAGCCACCCAGGGATCCCAAAGCAGCCTCATTTTAATCTGGTGGCCAATACCTGACATTATTTGCGGGTCCACTCATGTCCCTTAAACGTATAGTGAGCGCCCTGGCGCCGACCCGAAGGGAGGCTTCTGCTCGTAAGGAAAGGGAGGTGTTTCCCGGCCGCTAGCGGCTCTGACCTGGGGCAGCCCGCCTGCTACCGACGCCCGGTCCGTGTTTGGGGCCCCGGGCCTCGCCGTGGCCGGTGAGCGTCACTCGGCGGTTGAGGCCTCTCCTGCTATAGAACCCGTTCCTAGAAAAACACGCGCACACACACGCACACACGTCCTGAGGCCCTGTGTGCCCCCTGCAGTCGCCACCATCGGGGACCCAAGCTGTCTGCTTGTGCCGTTGCAGGGAACAAGAGACCCGCTGTTTCTGACTGGGGTCACCTTCCCGTCCGAGTATCCCATCTATGAGGAGACCAAGATAAAGCTGACGGTCTATGATGTCAAGGACAAGGCTCATGACACCGTAAGTACTTGCACTCATTCCTTTTCTTGGGGGGCAGAGGTGGGAAGGACTTCTGCTTTTCCACGTCATTGGGTGTGACTCCGAGTGGCGTTGCTCAAAGACGGTGTGTGCGACGTTGGCAGCTTGCTCAGGACCCGCGTCCCAGCCCCCACGCCCGCCCCGTTCATTTGCTCTGCTGCCAGATGGGCAGCCGCTTAGGAGCTAAAGCTTTCGGGACAGGTTTTTCTGTTTTTCGAGGAGCCTGGCTTGATCTCTTGGCTTATGTTTCTGTTACTTTATTTTATTTTATTTATTTTATATTTTATTCTATTTTATTCTATTTCAGGACAGGTTTTTCTGTTTTTCGAGGAGCCTGGCTTGATCTCTTGGCTTATGTTTCTGTTACTTTATTTTATTTTATTTTATTTATTTTATTTTATTTTATTTCATTTTTTATTTCTTATTTTATTTTATTTTATTTTATTCTATTTTATTCTATTTCAGGACAGGTTTTTCTGTTTTTCGAGGAGCCTGGCTTGATCTCTTGGCTTATGTTTCTGTTACTTTATTTTATTTTATTTATTTTATTTTATTTTATTTCATTTTTTATTTCATATTTTATTTTATTTTATTCTATTTTATTCTATTTTATTCTATTTCAGGACAGGTTTTTCTGTTTTTCGAGGATCCTGGCTTTATCTCTTGGCTTATGTTTCTGTTGTTTTATTTTATCATTTTATTTTATTTTATTTTATTTTAATTATTTTATTTTTTATTTATTTTTATCGGAGTTCAATTTGCCGACATATAGCTGTTGTTGTTTTAAAGAGCTGCGGAAGGAGTCTTGCTGTGGAAGAGGTTAGTTAGCCTTATATAATGTTTCAGGACTTTCTGGATGTGGGATCATTCTAAAACAGTGAATCCGTGCATGCACTCTCCCCCTGTCCTCCTGAAGCTGTTCCTGGCACCAGAGCAAAAACAGAGGGTGCAACAAGGGGTACCGGGCACCCTGTGTATAATCGGCGTGGAGGTCACGTGCAGACCCCAAGGCCTTTTGTCCTAAATTCTTCAGTCTTCCTACAGGGTCTGACTTTCCTTCCACTTGAGTCAGACCGCCCGGCTAGATGGTCAGGTGCCCGGGCACTATCTCTAGAGGCCGCTCTCAAGATTCCTGGACAGAATGGAATGCTGTTGGGTCGGTGCCGGGAGGGGATGACCTAAGAGGGGCCGCCTCCTGTAAAGCCCTCGGGTCCCCAGGAATCGTCTGTTTCCCAGGCAGGGAGGCTGGTGAGGATCACTGGCGAGGCACAGGCCCGGGGACACTCTGCAGGCAGGGGGGCCTTCAGGTTCCCGCAGAGTTCCTGCCGAAGCCAGGCTGCTGGGCGCAGGGAATCCCGCGTGCCCGGCCTGGGGGAGACAGCGCGACCTCAGATAGGTTATGGGTCCAATAGATGGTGGTGGCGGAGGAGGAGGAGGAGGAGGAGGAGGAGGAGGAGATGCAGTTGCTGGGGAGGAGCCAGCAGAGAAAGGTCACAACGATGGGCAGATGGGCAGGCGGCCGTGGGTGCGGGACCCTGCGCTACGGAGACCGATGCCTCCCCTGTGCTCTTGATACGTCGGAGTCAGGAATGTTCAACCCCTACGGGGTCTCAACCCCCTTTGCTCCCCCTCCTTTAAAATGTGCCTGGACCGTAATGCTCTCGGGATAGAGAACCAGCTTGCTCACCAGTTGGGCCTTTTGTTGGCGCCCAGTCTGGAGGCTGAATAGGTAAGGTCTTCTGGAGACTTCCTTCCTCGATCAGAGGCGTCGTCACATGAAAGTATTGGGTGAACTGGAACCGCTGCTGTGAAATGAGACCCGGGAACTCTGACCGCGCTTAAGAAAGGCGCCAGCTGCCGTCTGCTAGGAGCTGTTAATTGAGGCATAACCTCCTCAAAATAGCTAAGGGCTCTGGCGATGGGAGTGCAAACAGAAACGCAGCTTATCCATATGCTCACGGTTCCCGGGACGCACAGTCCTTATCCTGGCACTTGTTCTCTCACTTATTAAGGTTTTTCTCTGGGGCTGGGGGAGGGGGGAGGGGGGACGGGGAGGCAGGAAGTGGTTTTCAAGTGCTGAGCACTCAACAACCTCAAGACGTCTAGGACCGCAGTACCTTAAAGGCCTAAGAAATGGGACTGTGTGTCCGCGTCTTAGAGAACTAATGAAATTACGTGCACGTATTTAAAAGTAGCTTGAATATTTGATCCCAGCAAATCGTCGATCATGTTAGGCTGACCCAGAACAATGAGATTTTCTACCGACTGAATGCTAATTAGTTGAGCCAGATGACTGGGTTGCTTGCCCTTTCCTATCGAATTCATCATTACTTGGAATTCATCAGTCACACAAATGTGTTACCTTGCCATTTCGTGCTCATTGGCGTACCTGTCAACACTAGATTTCTTTTTTTTTTTTAAGTATTTTATTTATTTATTCATGAGAGACACACACAGAGAGAGAGGGGCAGAGACCCAGGCAGAGGGAGAAGCAGGCTCCATGCCCGGAGCCCAAGGCGGAACTCGATCTTGGGACCCCGGGGTCACGCCCTGGGCCGGAGGCAGACGCTCAACCGCGGAGCCCCCCGGGCTGCCCCCGAATACGTTTCGTGAAGCGTCCAGCTAATAGTCCTGGAAAAAAGAGCTGTTATGACCTGCTCTGAAACGGTTAAGTTCACGTCTTGCTTTTGCCTTTGTCCACCCGGCCCTTTGCTTCTGTGCGGACGGCACAGGCCTCTCCGCTCGCTGGTCCAGGCCGGTCTCCGTCGTCACGTAGTTTGCAAAGGGAGTCACCTCCCGTCCACGTGGAGGTGGTTCAGGGTTCCGAGGTGCCGCTGCCCTTCGCAAATAATTCTGCCTCCTTTCTGCTGATAAATGGGGTATATTGACAAAGAGCATATTTATATTTCACTGAGGTATGATCCACGTATGATGATAAGACAGACGGATCTAAAGCATTCCGTTCATTGAACATAACATGCTCATCATTCCAGAAAGTTCCTTCGTGCCCGTCCTGCTCAGTCGCTACCCCACATACTCTGAGGCCACTGCTTTTCCATATGGAACGACATGGATCCGTTTTACTTGTTGGAATTTACGTGAATAAAATCATATAATACGTGTTCTCTAGCGCCTGGTGTCTTTTGCTCAGCGTGTTTTTGAGGTTCTCACATGTACGAGTGGGTATTACTACTGAGTGCTGGTGTGCTGTAGGGATACCACAGTTTCTTTCATTTTTTATTTTTTATTTTATTTTTTTTAAATGATGTTTCCTTTTTCTTTAAGATTTATTTATTTATTTATTTATTTATTTATTTATTTATTTATGATAGACATAGAGAGAGAGAGAGAGAGAGAGAGAGAGAGGGGCAGAGACACAGGCAGAGGGAGAAGCAGGCTCCATGCAGGGAGCCCGATGCGGGACTCGATCCCGGGACCCCGGGGTCACAACCTGGGCTGAAGGCAGGCACTCAACTGCTGACCCCCCGGGCGTCCCAGAAACCACAATTTCTTTATTCGCTCTTATATTTCCATTTCTCTACATTTAATCATCTGTGGGTTTTGACAATGATGAACAAAGTGTGAACCTTGGAGTCCAGGTACTTGAGCAGATATTTGTTTTAAATATCGGTAAATACTGAGGCGTTGAAACCGTGATGTCACAGGGCAGATGCATTTTTGACTTTTCTAGGAACGGCCAACTGTCCTTCGAAGCTACTGCGTGACTTTATTGTCCTGCTCCTATTTCTGGGTGAGAGCTCCAGTTAACCCCACCAATGACCATATTGTCCATCTTTTCCCTTTAGCCTTCTGGGCGGAATGAAGTGGCATCTTACGGGGCCTTAGTTTGCATTTTCCTGATGACTAATTATTTTTTTTTCTTTTTAAATATTTTTATTTATTTATTCATGAGAGACCCAGAGAGAGGCAGAGACACAGGTGGGGGAGAAGCAGGCTCCCTGCGGGGAGCCCGATGTAGGATTCGATCCCGGGACCCTGGGGTCACGCCCTGAGCCTAAGGCAGCCGCTCAACCGACTGAGCCCCCAGGGGTCCCAAAAAGTAGAATTTTTTGCTATTAATTTATAGGAACTTTCCATATAGGTGGACATAAGTGCTTTTAGGAATATACGTGTTACCAAAACAGAAGCGACGTATGTGTTACAGGCCCCCGCTCCTCCCTTTGGCTTGCCTTGTAATGTCCTTAATGGTGTCTTTTGTTGCCCAGAAGCTTTAAATTCTGAGTAAGTCCAGTTTCTCAATCTTTTCGTAAGTGCTTTTTGCGCCCTCGAGTATCGTTATGCCCTCGGGTCGTGACAATATTCCGCAGTGTCTTCTTTCAGAATGTTTTATCCTTCTGGCCTTTACTTTTATGAAAGAGATAGGAATCAAAGTTATTTCCCCCCTACGTAGATGTCTAGTTATTGCAGCCCCCTTTGTCAAAAAAATCCCTTTTTCTTCACTAAATTTAGTCGGTGCCTTGACTAGGAATTCAGTGGTCTAAAAAAAAAAAATAAAAATAAAAAAATACAAAAAATAGAAAATTAAAAAAATAATTAAAAAACGGAATTCAGTGGTCTAAAAAAATAAAAATAAAAAAATAAAAAATAGAAAATAAAAAAATAATAAAAGAGGAATTCAGTGGTCTAAAAAATAAAAATAATAAAAAAGGAATTCAGTGGTCTAAAAAAATAAAAATAAAAAATAGAAAATAAAAAAATAATAAAAAAGGAATTCAGTGGTCTATAAAAGAATAAAAATAAAAAGTAGAAAATAAAAAAATAATAAAAAAAAAAAGGAATTCAGTGGTCGACGGATAGACATGGGTCTGTTTCTCAACGGTCTGTTCTGTTCCGTCGATCGCTGTGTGCAGCTTCACGACCACGACAGGAGCTTCGTAGCCTTATTGTGAGTCCTAACTCAGGGCATTTAAGGCCTCTATCTTTGCTGGCCTTGTTTTTTTTTTTTTAAGATTTTATGTATT